AAAACATTTTAGATAATTCTTACTTGTAAAAGGTAATTGAGACAAGTTATTTTCTTTTCGGTTACTTCTTTCATTAAGAACTTGAAAGGTTCCAAACCATGGCTAAATTAAAATGCTCTCTCAAAGTGAAGTGTGGTTTGGAACTATTGACTTGACCAATGACTAAGGCCGGAATAATCAATATTGTTTTCTCACTACTCTTCATCATGATTATTCTGACAGAATGTCTCTGTTTAACAGGGATCAAAGACATCAGTACAGCCTGGATATAATACTCAGATATAAAAAGAAAACTGCAAACACAAATAGGAATCATATACTTCTAAACATTTTTTAGTATTTTCATAAAAGCTTAACACAAAAGGAAACAATGTTGCCATACACAATAGCTTGTTGTATTAAGATAGGTAAGCATGTTGTTTATTAGGTAATAATGAAAGGGATCTCTACAATTAAAGTATTAAATTATTAAACCCAAAACCAAAAATGTAATATATTGCAGCTTACCAACCATTAGATGTGGTGGCTGCATTTGTTTTCTTTTCTTTTTCCCTCTGTTTTCACCTGGTGATCTGGTCACCAAACACACCTTCTGTATTAGAATGCCCCTCCTTCTGGAGGAATGAACACAAGGGGCATAGCAGACAGCAGCATTGTCAGTCTAGGGCAGGGCTGCTGTTAGAAATCATGGGGCCCCATACAGCCAACCTATCAGGGCCCCCAGAGAAAACAAGTTTACTATGCTTCAGTTAATGAACTCAGTGAATGACCACTACTGATCACTTACTGTGTTCATTCAGAAAAAAAAGGGGCTGGCAAATGTGACATATTTGCTCTCCATCCCTGAAGGATCCTATTGTGGGCTTGCAGCTGCCAGTGGGAAGGAGAGGAGGGAAGCCAGTAGCACTGTGAGAGTGAGGGCACACAGGGGGGCCTGGGTAGCAGGGGGAAACATATGGTGCACAGGGAGGGTGATGGGTGTGGTGGGGAAGAAATTATTGGAAATGATCCCTCTCTCTGCAGCAGCTGAAAGCCAGCAGGGGAATTGTTCCAGTAATTTCCCCCGCTGTGCTGATCACCCTCCCTGCCCACATGTAATTCACCTGGTTGCTTGGCCCACATGCTGGTCTGGGCCCCGTACAGAAGGACTAGTGGTACCTCCTTATCCATGGCCCTGGTCTAGGGATGGCATTTTAGCAGTTTTAGATACACTAACAAACAGAAGCCAAACTCCAGCTCACACTTGATAATCAGTTACAGCAAACTGTTTTTTTGCTTTTGGGATAAATGGTTTACATAAATAAATACAAGTGGATCATTTAAGCACCCCTGCTAGTGTTTAACGGTTTTTCCCACCTCTGTAACTCATTAATCCTGCTGGAGAGCTTGTTCTTTTTAAAAACAACAGAGACTAACTGACTGGATCACCCGATAAAAATAGAAGAAAGAAAGCCTAAAAAAAAAGAAAATGAATGCAGCTATCACATCTAAGATATGGTAAGCTGCAATATAATATTGTAATGTAATACTGCCTTAAAGTGTTACTAAACCCAGGATCCTGCATTCACTCTATCAGGTCTCCCACAGTACACACAACATGGAAATACAATTATTTTAGTAAATACAAACTGCTGAATACCTTTTCTCATCAGTAGAATATAGCAGTCTTGTGACCGCCCCTTGATGACGTCGTGGTGACGAAACGTGTTGGGCGTGGCCTACTTGATGTTGACGTCAGGACATTTTTTTCCCTGTGTGTGTCGGAGGTAATCCACGGTGAGCGGGGATCATCCACTACTAAGTGCTGTATATTGCTGATCAAGCTGGTATCTGACTGGATACCCTATTTGTGAGTGCTTTGGATGTTTTAATAAATGTATGTGTTTTAAACGTGCTGCACCATCATTTCTTTTCCTTTGTCCCTGAGTGTGGCTCATACATTTATGGAGATACGGTGGTACATGGAGAGATTCATCCTGAGATTTTTGGCTGCAGAGCATTGCTTCTGTTAGCGAGATGTTGTTCATCATTGCCAAATATTGCTACTGATCACCTGGATATGTGAATATTACTGCGAAATATTATATCTACAATCTGGATATCGTTTACCCATCACTCCCAGAGCAAAAGCGCTGGTGCTGGTCTATAATCTGACCAGCATTTAGCTCTGGTGAGTCCATCTAATTAATTTGGTGGTGGATCAATCACGGTGTTATGAATTCACAGATTAAATTTTGAGTTTTTATGGTGTTTGGACTTGCACAGATTTATTATGGACACCTAATTATATAGTGACATTTTATTTAGCGCATTCCTTTGTATACATTTTTTCACTTTATGCCAAAATAATTTTTAATTTTTTGGGGTTGGGAGTTGCTGCTATTTATATATATATATATTTTATTGATAGAAAGTGTGGCGCTTTTCCATTTTATTTTATGTAGTACAGGAGTTGGTCAGAGACTCAATCCTTCATCACAGCCAAATGAGACAACCCCCACCCGCTGCTCCCCCACCCCACCCCAAAAAAAGTTTACTCCTCTCAGGCCATGATTACAGTAATCATGGCCTGAGAGTAGCACTTTATTCTTTGGGGGAGGGGGGGCAGTGAGTGGGGATTGTCTCATTTGGCTGTAAGAGTGAGTCTCTGTTTTTTTGGTGCTTTTTTGGGGGGGATTATCATGATCTTAGAAGAGCGAGGTTTTTTTTTGGGGGGGGGAATGGAGCAGCGGGTGAGGGTTTTCTCATTTGGCTGTGATGGAGGAGCCAGTCTGTGTTTTGTTTTTAGGGGGTATTATTACACCCCCCCAAAAAACTCAGACTCATGCCTCCATCACAGCCAAATGAGACAACCCTCACCTGCTGCTTCCCCCCCCCAAGAAAAAAAAAATACTTGCTCCGTTCAGGTCATATTTACCCCCCCCCCCCCCCCCCCAAAAAAAAAAAAAAAAAAAACTTACCGCCACTCCCAAAAAGGCAGCAACTTACCTGTGTGGTCGAATCATCATCTGCTCTCAGGCTGGCTGGTGCTGCACCTCTCAAGTCCTCAGCTGGTCAGGTCTGTCTCCTCTCTGTGTCCGCCTGTCCCTGCAGCTCCTGAGTCCTCTCTGCTTGGTCCTGCTCAGTGTACGTCCTAGGCTTGGACCACTCTGTAGCAGCTTCCTCTGCCTTGCATGCGCTCCTGCTGAGACTGAGGAGGCTAAGGCGGGCTGACACAGTCACCCCACGACTGGCCATGCCCCCTCACAGTAACAACCAATCAGGATGGGAGAAACGGCCACATGACTTCCTGTCCCACAGCTGATTGGCAGTGCCAGGCAAGGGGAGGACAGAGAGGGAGGGCACAGGATCGCAGGGAGCAAGGAGGACAACAATAATTAACACACAGCAATAGACCGGCTGCGGCGGACTGTGACAAAGTAGACCTATCCATGACAAACCTCAATTTTCGTGATTCAGCCTGGGACAAGGACTGTTCGTGACAAATATAAAAAATCTGTGAGCATCTCGGGCATTTCAGGTTGGCAACTATGTTCTCAGACTGTCCTATAAAGCTCCATGACCCCTGACCCTCTGTCTGAACAGTGCTGATTGGCCCTGTGCTGATTACATGCACCCTCACAAAAAAAAAAAAAACACACCTCTCTAGCAATACACACCACACTAAGCATGTGCAGAGTTCCTCCTAGGGCTCTGTACTATCAGCAGATGGATTGGGAGCTGCGGAAGAAGGGAAGGATCAGAGAAGACAGGATCAAACAGCCTTTTCACACAATGCAGAGAATTAACCCTTAGCTTCCACAGTGAGTATAACAAGCATGCTTTACTGCATATACAGACTGATTTTACTGTTGAGGGTTTAGTAACACTTTTAGAACGCAAGGGTAAAACGCATTACAGTGGGGAGGTGTGTTGGTGTGGACAGTAGGGGTTATTTACTAAAACTGGAGAGTGCAAAATCTGGTGCAACCCTTCATAGAAACCAATCAGCTTCCAGGTTTTATTGCCAAAGTTAACTGAACAAGCTGAAGTTAGAGGCTGATTGGTTTCTATGAATAGCTGCACCAGGTTCTGAGTGCACCAGTTTTAAATGTAGAATGCTTTACCTTCATTACATGTAGCATCCTCAGTGTGCGACTAAGTAAGCAAGCAAGTGGGTATGGAGCAGTGCCTTTTTCTGTGAATTTGCAAATATTGAGACAGAGCTTTCTTTTTTTATTTCCCTAAATTGGTACCGTTGTTACAATTTTAGGAAAGTGCAAAATAAAGTTTACACAACACTAGAAAGCCTAAGCGTATTGAAATGTATGTCCAGTTAAACTTTTTTTTTTCAATATCAATATAGCAGTAATGCAGGATTAGAACCCGTGTCAGGTTTTACGGCCATCCCAGGCTCCATTAGAAAGCAAAGATTTTACCAGACAGGAAATGAGAGGAAATCTGCAACAAGGACACAGACAGCAATAAGATGCTTATGAGGGTTCTGACCTTTATCTAATACACTAAAAAATTACTTTTTTCTGTCTGTGTTGCTGTTGCAGATTTTTCTCTCACTTTCTCTCTGGTGAAATAGTTGGTACCAGGACAGGAAGTAAGGAGAAATCTCTTTAGCAGATCCTCATACAGCAGTAAAATATACTCTACATTGCCGAACGTATTGGGACATCCCTCCAAATCATTGCATTCAGGTGTTCCAATCACCTCCATGGCCACAGGTGTATAAAATCAAGCACCTAGAAATGCATACTGCTTCTACCAACATTCGTTAACCTCTTGGTGTTGGCCACACGCAAATGTGCGGCCTCCCAGCATCTAGGCCTTGACACCGAGCGGCCGCGCATTTGCGTAAAATTAAGAAAAACATACTGTATGTGCTGAGAGAGCATGTGCCCTGCACCATGTCCGGTACTCACGGAAAGGTCCCAATCTCCTCTTGCGATCAGGACCTTTCCCGAACATGTGACCGCCGTGACAGCGAACCAGCGTGAAGGCGCCAAGGGGTTAAAGAATGGGCCACTCTTAGGAGCTCAGTGAATTCAAGTGTGGCACTGTGAGAGGTTGCCACCTGTGCAATAAGTCCATCCGTGAAATTTCCTTGCTACTAAATATTCCACAGTCAACTGTTAGTGGTATTATAACAAAGTGGAAGCAACGGGGAACAACAGCGACTCAGCCATGAAGTGGTAGGCCCATGCAAAATGAGAGAGCGGGGTCAGCGCATGCTGAAGCGCACAGTGCGCAGAAGTCACCAACTGTCTGCACAGACAATAGCTAAAGACCTCCAAACTTCATGTGGCCTTCAGATTAGCACAACAGTGCATAGAGAGCTTAATGGAATTGGTTTCCATGGCCGAGCAGCTGCATCCAAGCCTTACATCACCAAGTGTAATGCAAAGCGTCGGATGCAAGCACGTAAAGCACGCTGCCACTGGAGTGAACTGCTTCTCTGTCTATTAATCCAATGGACGTGTGTTGGTTTGGCTGTTGCCAGGAGAATGGTATTTTCCTACCTGCATTGTGCCAAGTGTAAAGTTTGGTGGAGGGGGGATTGTGTTGTGTGGTTGTTTCTCAGAGGTTGGGCTTGGCCCCTTAGTTCCAGTGAAGGGAACTCTTTAGGCATCAGCATACCTAGACATTTTGGACAATTTCATTCTCCCAACTTTGTGGGAACAGTTTGGGGATGGCCCCTTCCTGTTCCAACACTCCAGAGAACACGTTTCCACTGCTCTAGAGTCTAGTGGTGGCGTGCTTTACACCACTGCATCCAATGCTTTGATTGTACTTGGTGATGTAAGGCTTGGAAGTAGCTGCTCGGCCAAGGAAACCCAGTCCATGAAGCTCTCTATGCACTGTGGTTGTGCTAACCTGAAGGCCACACAAAGTTTGGAGGTCTTTAGCTATTGACTCTGCAGACAGTTGGTGACTTCTGCGCACTGGGAGCTTCAACATGCGCTGACTGTCATTTTACGTGGCCTACCACTTCGTGGCTGAGTTGCTGTTTTTACCCAACTGCTTCCACTTTGTTATAATACCACTAACAGTTGACCGTGGAATATCTAGTAGAAAGGAAATTTCACGGATGGACTTATTGCACAGGTGGCAACTTATCACGGTACCACGCTTGAATTCACTGAGCTCCTGAGAGCGACCCATCCTTTCACAAATGTTTGTAGAAGCAGTCTGCATTTCTAAGTGCTTGATTTTATAACACCTGTGGCCATGGAGGTGATTGGAACATCTAAATCCAATGATTTGGAGGGGTGTCCCAATACTTTTGGCAATATAGTGTATAATGAAAAACTGCAAAAGATAAGGTTACATTCAGTGACAACTACTGAGGTTAGCTGTAGATCTTTACTTTTCCTGTAAGGGATCATTCACACGGAGATCTAAAACACCATGTTTAGATGCATAAAGCAGATCGTTTTGTACACATAAACACAGCAGTGAAGGACTAAATATACCCATACACACACCTGTATCTGCAAACAAAAATGTTCCACAGAACAATATAGAAAGAGAAAAATAAGATTGCCTTTGGAGCTATAGATATCTGCAGATTTTACACATATGAATGTATCTACACAGAAGTAATTTAGGCACTTATTTTACGCAGGATCTTTCACTAGCTCTGCTAGAAAAACCTGCATTCCATGCAGAAAATATGCATGTGTATATATGCATAAATGAATGAACCCAAAAAGTTTAGCTTGGTACCACCTTAATTTCAATTGGAATACCCAACATAATACATATTAATTTACCCACTGTAAAGATTCAGGTAGTATGAGTGGACAGGGAAAATCTAAAACGTATAGGGAATATCAAGTTTTTTTATATAATTTCAGCTGACTATGTTTTACCATTAGGTTTCACAGATAATTATCACCGATTCTGCACAGTTGTACGCTCATTTTTAATTACCCAGATTTGTGAAAACTAATTAGTGTATCTCAAGTAAAAAAAAACAAAAAACAAAATTGTATATATACACCAAACTAGTTTTGTAACACGCCAACAGATGGCAGCACAAGGCTACATGCACAGTCACAGGGCGCACTGTCCTTCATAAGCCAGTGTGCCAAAAGAGACTGCCTGCTCAAATCGGGATTCTGACCAAGTGTGTTACCACATGAATGATTTCATCATGGACAGCAAGTTAGAACAAAGAGCAAATGTGAAATTATGCATGAAAGTGGACAAATCTGACACAGAGATGTTTAACATGATTCTGCAAGTTTACGATGATGCTGCAATGAGTCGTTTGTGGTGTTTTGAGTGGCAAGCGTGCTTCAGGAGCAGAAGAACATCACTGGAAGATGATGAGAGATCGGGAAGATCTTCAATGTGCTCAATTCCCAAAAATGCCCTCTCTCCGATGAAGATCCAGCTCAAAGGTCACGGTTTTGAAAACATTAAGGAGATCCAGCGATTTTCCCAGTTTCATGCAGAATTTCATGTTTGTTTTAACTTGCTGCCCATGTTGAATTAGCAGACATGGTAATGCACGTGGTCAGAATAGCACCAGTTGCACAGCTCCTGATGCACACAGGACGATGTCTTTTGGCACACTGGCTTATGAAGGTCGGTGCTGCCTGTGCGTGAAGCCTTGTGCCGCCATCTGTTTGTGTGTTATGATGTTACAAAACTAGTTTCAAAACCACCTTGTGTGTGTGTATATATATATATATATATATATATATAAATAAAATATATATTCACAGTTGTGCTCAAAAGTTTGCATACCCTGGCAAAAATTGTGAAATTTTGGCATCGATATTGAAAATATGACTGATCATGCCAAAAAATTCTCTTTTATTGAAGGATGATGATCATATGAAGCCATATATTATCAAATAGTTTGCATCCTGAATAATTCTTCTGGCAGTTGAGGCTGCAATCTTTCTTGGTCTACCTGTACTTGGCTTGGTATCAAGAGGTCCCTGAATTTTCTGCTTCTTAGTGGAAGTGATGATTGGCATAGTCAAAGCTTTGGACATCTTTTTATGTCATTTTCCATCTTTATAAAGTTCCTATACCTTGTTACGCAGCACTTTTGACAGTTTTTTTTCTGATCCCCATGGCTCAGTATCTAGCCTAGTCAGTGCTTCTACGTAAAAGCTAAAAAACTCATTGACTATTTATACACTGACACTAATTGCAATTTAAAAAGCCAGAGATGTGGGACATTAACCTCTAATTGGCATTTTAACACATGTGTGTGTCACCTTGTGTGTCTGTACCAAGGCCAAATATTCCAGGGTATGTAAACTGTTGATTATGGCCATTTGGGTGATTTCTGTTATCATTATGATTTGAAAAGGAGCCAAAACAACTATTTGATCATAAATGGCTTCATGTGATCATCATCCTTCAATAAATGAGCATTTTGTTGGCATGATCAGTCATATTTTCAATATCAATGCCAACATTTTACAATTTCTGCCAGGGTATGCAAAATTTTGAGCACAACTGTACACACACACACACACACACACACAAACGCATATACATACACACACTGTACATCTCAGCAATGCATACATAGTTCCCATAAGAAGGTGTAGAGAAGGTTTAGAGCCCCGTCAGGTTTTTATCATTACCTGTGTCCCCATAACCTATTTGTCCAGATGACCATTATCTTAATGTAGCGCCCTCCTAGCTAGACTCAAATTGTTAGACAGGGGCTGAGTAGCAGCCCAGGTGCAACAGTCTGAGGGATGTTAAATTCGGGTCAGAGCTGAGAGGCTCTGCAGGCCAGCTCTCTGAGACTTCCCCCTGTCCTTGAACTTTGGAGAAAGTTCTAGAGGCAGTGGATGGAGGTAAAAAGTGGCTGGTCTGCTCTCTTTAGGGATCCTGACCCAACAGGAGGCTTGGCAAGGGGTCAGGATTGCCCTTATAAGTGATAGAGCCAGCTCAACTGCACAAGAGGAAGATGTAAGGCTGAAGATCAGAAGCCTAGGAGGAGGCCCAGATGGGAGAGAGGCTCTCCTCCAGGCAGAAGGACCTAGGAAGGCTGAAAGCTTGGAACGTCACCGGCCTCCTGAGAGAGAACCACCTGTGTGGCAGGGAAGGAGTGGCCCAGCTAGAAAACCTGGTAGCAGCCACTGACCCACCAGCAACACAGGAGAAGGATTAAGTGAGTAGACCTGCATCCCCTGGGTCAGATAGCGGGAGGAGCACTCTAGTGGGAAACTGGATTAGCCTGCCACCCAGGACTGTTTCTGTCCAGGGATTGCTCCAGGCAGCCAGATAGAGGAGCAATTGGGCTCTGTGGTGGTACTACAGGAGACACTGGCTAGCTCTCCAGAAAAGACTGTTTGCTGTAACCACTTGTACATAGTTCAGGAAGTTGTCCTCGGTTTCGCAGTTCCATTGCGCATCCTGTACACCCCTTACCCCATCCTGTCACAGGGAGAGTAAGTCAAGGCAATAGGTGAAAGTAATAAACAAACTGGTAATGCTATTTTACAGATCTGTTGACCTCTACTGTCTGTATTTGCAAATAACTGTGCTGCTTAACCACTTGAGCCCCAGAGGATTTACCCCCCTTAATTACCAGGCCTTTTTTTGCTGTTTGGCGCTGCACTAATTCAAATGATAATTGCGCGGTCATGCAATGCTGTACCCAAACAAAATTTACGTCCTTTTTTTCACACAAATAGAGCTTTCTTTTGGTGGTATTTTATCACCTGTGCACTTTTTATTTTTTTGCGCTATAAACAAAAAAAAACCACGAAAATTTTGAAAAAAACAATATTTTCTACTTTCAGCTATAAAAAATATATCGTAAACTCAAAGTTAGTCATAAATTTAAGCCAAAATGTATTCTGCTACATGTTTTTGGTAAAAAAAAAAAATCCCAATAGCGTGTAAATTGATTGCTATCTTGTGAAAGTTATAGCGTCTACAAACTATGGTAAGATCACTGTAATTTATGCCTTTTTTTGCTATACAGCGCTGACTAATTCAAATGAAATTGTTCACTGTAATCAATGCAATGCTGCACCCAAACGAAAAATTACGTCCTTTTTTTCACACAAATAGAGCTTTCTTTTGGTGGTATTTGATCACCTGTGCGCTTTAAATTTTTTGCGCTACTAACAAAAAAACCACGAAAATTTTGGGAAAAAAAACATATTTTCTACTTTCGCCAGCGCTATAAAACAGTATATCGTAAAATCAAAGTTCACTGTCAATAAATTGAAGCCAGTGAAGGGGTATTCTGCTCATGTTTTTGGTTAGAAGGAAAAATCCCGTGCATTAGCGGGCAATCTGGCGCTATCTAGGAGGCGCGCTAACACTATCGGAAGTCGCCAGTGACACTGATACAGTGATCAGTAAAAATCTGTTCACTGTAATCAATGACACTGGTGACAGGGCAGTGAAGGGGTTAACTGGGGGGGGAGGGATTCAAGGGGTTAAATGGGATTTCTGGTGCACTAGCGGGCAATCTGGTGCTATCTGGGAGGGGCGCTAACACTATGGAAGTCGCCAGCGACACTGATACAGTGATCAGTAAAAATCTGTTCACTGATCAATGACACTGGTGACAGGGCAGTGAAGGGGTTAATTCAGGGGGGGGGGGGCGATCAAGGGGTTAGCGGGATTAATGGTGTATTAGCGGGCAATCTGGCGCTATCTGGGAGGGGCGCTAACACTATCGGAAGTCGCCAGCGACACTGATACAGTGATCAGTAAAAATCGGTTCACTGATCAGTGACACTGGTGACAGGGCAGTGAAGGGGTTAACTGGGGGGGGGGGATTAAGGGGTTAGATGGGATTACTGGTGTACTAGTGGGCAGCGGGCAATCTGGCGCTATCTGGGAGGGGCGCTAACACTATCGGAAGTCGCCAGCGACACTGATACAGTGATCAGTAAAAATTGGTTCACTGATCAGTGACACTGGTGACAGGGCAGTGAAGGGGTTAACTGGGGGGGGGGGGGCGATCAAGGAGTTAAACGGGATTACTGGTGTACTGGCGGGCAATCTGGCGCTATCTGGGAGGGGCGCTAACTCTATCGGAAGTCGCCAGTGACACTGATCAGTAAAAATCGCTTCACTGATCAGTGACACTGGTGACAGGGCAGTGAAGGGGTTAACTGGGGGGGGGGGGGGGGGGGGGGCGATCAGGGGGTTATATGTGTCCTAAAGTGTTCTAACTGTAGTGTAGTGCTTGTGTACTCACTTTTTGGATGTCTTCTTCTCTGTCTGGAACGGAATGTGTCCAGGCAGAGAAGAATGACATCATATCCTGCCCTGTGTATTTGTCAACACAGGACAGGATAGGACAGGGACCGATCATGTGATTTCAGTCAGAAATCACTGGCTGAAATCTAATGATTGATCCCTCCTGGATCAAATCGTGTCACCCGCGGGTCGGCGGGAGCGCGCGCGCGCGTTTTGCGCTCCCCTGCCGGCGAAAGTGTTGGGGAGCACGGAACCCGTTTTTTAAAACGTGGTTTTGCGCTCCACTGCCGCCCTGCACACGTATATACACAGTGGCAGGGCGGAAAGCGGTTAAAGTGATACTAAAGGTTAGATTTTTTTGGGGGGGGGGGAATAACAAAATGTTATACTTACCTGCTCTGTGCAGTAGTTTTGCACAGAGCAGCCCTGATCCTCCTCTTCTTGGGACCCCTGCTGGCACTCCTGGCACCTCTTTTCTGTCAGGTGCCCCCATAGCAAGCAGCTTGCTATGGGGGCACCTGAGCAGGCATGTTCCCAAGCCACTGCTCCGTGTGTCCATTCACACACAGAGCTGTGGCTTGGCCCTCTCTCTCCTCATTGGCTGACTGGCTGTGACTGACAGCAGCGGGAGCCAATTGCTCCTGCTTGCTGTCTCAGTCAATGAGGAGGGATAGACCTGGGACAGCTGAGGCTGTTGTGCAAATCGATGGATCGCGATGTGGCTCAGGTAAGTATTGAGAAGGCTGGGAGTACCGCTGCACACAGGTTTTTTAATGCATTTTAGAATGCATGAAGGTAAAAAACCTTCAGCCTTTACAATCACTTTAAACATGGAATTAATGATGTATAGCACCTCCTGTCTCTGGGCTGTTGGGGTGTAAACCCTAGAAGAAGGAAGTGAAGTGAGAGAAAGGTTTTTGAGAGCACATATCCACGTGGAAGAGCTGCTGCTGAAAACAGACCAGATGCAGGGATTATTAGGCAAGTACTCCTATAGTTAATAGTTTACTTTTGTTGCCCATAGACTGGTGAGAGAAGTATATCTGTCCCCATGTTGTGAGCTTACATGTACTATACCAGATAACAAAGACTGTGATACCGTGTGTGTGTGTGTGTGTGTGTGGTGGTCACCTTGTCGTATTTTAGTAGGTGAGCCTGTTTATTGCAATAGAAATTATATGTAGTTTTTGTAATTTTAGTTAGCCCTTTCATTTCTGATCTAGAATTCTTTAGCTAATTTTAGCTCAGGGCTCAATAACCATCATAGGCTAGAGCCAGGTTAGGCATCCGACGGCCACTGGTAGTTAGCAGTCCGGTGGCATGACAGATTAGAAGTTACTAGGGACTAAGACACAGAGTAGATAGGCAGACTTCCAGTGCCGCACCACGGTTTCTGCTGGTGAGAAGCTGCATACTAGGCTGGTTGGATAACGGCTGAAGGATATCTCCATCATCGCTGAACTTGTCTTCAGGTCTCGGACACCAAGATAGACGCTGCATTGCAATCATTCTCAGGGGCCCCTTCAACT